ATAACTTTGATACTGTAAACAGGGAGATCATAAGGAAGAAACATAGGCCAATCTCATCCATGAACATGGATGCCATTGTCCTAAACAAAATGTTAACAAAAAAGATCTAACAGTTTATGGGTTAACATTAGAAAAACTATTACCTATTAAAGGAGAGAAAACAATTCAATGAAAACAGAAAAGGTATTTTTTTAATGTCAGCACCAGAAAGCAAACCAGTGTTTGCCTAAGGAAAGAAGAGGGAAGAGCAGGGAGGACATGAGGAAGAGACAACCAAGGGCCACAAGGAAATTGGGAATGATGGAAATACTCATCTTGGTCATGGTGATGGTTTCTTGAGTATATGCATATTTCAAAACTTGTCAAACTGTACTCCTCAAATGTGTTCAATTATTTTATGTTAATCATACCTCAGTTAGACTGTTTTAAAAAGTCATGCATGATAAACACTCTTAGTACAAAAAGAAATAGAAGAAATTACCTTAAACTGTAGGTCACCTTTATCTTTCCTTCAATTCCACACATAGTTTCTAAAATTGCACTGGGTTATTATCTCTTGATAGATCACCCCCACCATTTCTGACACTGTTTTTTTTTTTTAATTTTTTTTCAACGTTTTTTATTTATCTTTGGGACAGAGAGAGACAGAGCATGAACGGGGGAGGGGCAGAGAGAGAGGGAGACACAGAATTGGAAACAGGCACCAGTCTCCGAGCCATCAGCCCAGGGCCTGACGCGGGGCTCGAACTCACAGACCGCGAGATCGTGACCCGGCTGAAGTCGGACGCTTAACCGACTGCGCCACCCAGGCGCCCCCTGACACTGGTTTTTATGAGATTATCTTATGTCCTAAGTTGGTTGCACATATTGTTCAAGTGTTTTCATTTTATGATCTTAGTTGCCCTGTTTTTATCAGGAGATTCAAGGAGGTTCCAAATCTATGCTGCTGACTTCTTCCCGGTCTCCTCTGCTCACCTGGCAGTTGTTATTGAGTGCCCAGCGTCAACGGGTCAAAGACACACTTGTCAATGGCATCTATACATGACCTCTCCTATTCTGAGAATGACTACAATGCAGGGTCACATTTCTGTCCTTCCCAACACATTGAGGATGAGGAGAAGATATGTCTTGTTTTCTCACCATCTGGGATATTTCACTCATATGAAATAACTTATTTCCATTCTTTTGAATTGGGGATTCTTTTACAATTCTTTTGGCCCTCCTTTCCTACCCCAGCCCCCAAGCAATACTACAACATTGTGGTGGTGACAGCAGAGGCAACTGAGGCCAGGCAAGCACCTAAAATGTTCATACAGGTGACTCTTCTGACAAGAAGAGACATGTTCTCAAGAGTGTGTAGAAGGTCTCTGTTGCTACTTTTTTCTTTCTCTGTACTCCTGCAAGCTGGCTCTTAACGTAAATGTAGTTGTGGGAAGTATATGGCAGAAGAGGGAGATTAGAGTCCTAGTTTTATCACTGGAAGACCAAGAAGGAAGGCCCCAGAAAGTTGGACAGAGTAAAGAAGATTGGGCAGAGAAGGGAGATCAAGAAGAGTAAACTCATAAAGTTGTATATGAATTCCTGAATAGTTCCATATCTACCTATAGCAAAAATGAATTTATAGCTAATTTAATTCTTGACAAGATCGGGTCCTCCAATCCATGGATATGAAATATCTATACATTTATTTATATCTTTTTTGAATTTTTCAGCAATGTTTTATAACTTTCTGTATAAAAGTTCTGTACATATTAGAGTTATATGCAAATATTTTTTGGAGTCATTATAAATGATATTGTTTATTATTTTTAATTTTAACTGTTCATTGCTGGAATATAGGAAAGCAGTTGGCTCTTGTATATTAAGCTTGTATCATGTAACCATGTAATACTTGCTCCAGGAATATTTTTGATGATTCTTTGGAATTTTCTACATAGAATATTGTCATCTACTAATAGAGACAGTTTTATTTTTTCCTTTCCAATCTGTATAGATTTTGTTTTCTTGTCCTATTGAACTAGCCAGGATTTAATTTTTTTTTTCAACGTTTATTTATTTTTCGGACAGAGAGAGACAGAGCATGAACGGGTGATGGGCAGAGAGAGAGAGAGAGGGAGACACAGAATCGGAAACAGGCTCCAGGCTCTGAGCCATCAGCCCAGAGCCCGACGCGGGGCTCGAACTCACAGACCGCAAGATCGTGACCTGGCTGAAGTCGGACGCTTAACGGACTGCGTCACCCAGGCGCCCCTCAGGATTTATAGTATAATGTGGAATAGGAGTTATATAAGAGAATATCCTTACCTTGTTCTTGATTTTAGGGGGGAAACATCCAGATCCTCACCATTAAGTATGATGTTAGCTATAGGTTTTCTGTGCATATTCTTTACCAAATTGAGGAAGTTTCTATTTCTAGTTTCCTATTGATAATGCTGCTATAAACATTGGGGTGCATATTTCCATTCGAATTAGTATTTTTGTCAACGTCTATTTATTTTTGGGACAGAGACAGAGCATGAACGGGGGAGGAGCAGAGAGAGAGGGAGACACAGAATCGGAAACAGGCTCCAGGCTCTGAGCCATCAGCCCAGAGCCCGACGTGGGGCTCGAACTCACGGACCACGAGATCGTGACCTGGCTGAAGTCGGACGCTTAACCGACTGCGCCACCCAGGCGCCCCTCGAATTAGTATTTTTGTATCCTTTGGGTAAATACCTTGTAGTTCAATTGCTGGCTTCTATGGTAGTTCTATTTATAACTTTTTGAGGAACCTCCATACTGTTTCCCATAGTGGCTGCACCAGTTTGCATTCCCACCAACAGTGTAAGAAGGTTCTCCTTTCCCCACATCCTTGCCACCACTTCTTATTAATACTGGCCATTCTCACACGTATGATTTGACATCTCGCTGTAGTTTTGATTTATATTACCCTGATGATCAGTGATACTGAGCATCTTTTCATGTGTCTGTTGGTCATCTGTATGTCTTCTTTGGAAACAGGTCTATTCATGTCTTCTGCCTGTTTTTTTTAATTGGATTATTTGTTTTTGGGGAGTGTTAAATTTTATAAGTTCTTTATATATTTTGGACAATAACCCTTTATCAGATATATCATTTCCAAATGTATTTTCCCATTCCATAGGTGGCCTTTTAGTTTTGTTGACTTTTTCCTTCACTGTCCAGAAGCTTTTTACTTTGATGAAGTCTGAATAGTTTATTTTTGCTTTCTCCCCCCCCCCCCCCCATTGTCTCAGGAGAAATCTCCAGTAAGAAGTTGCTGCAGCTGATGTCAAAGAGGTTCCTGCCTGTGTTCTCCTCGAGGATTTTAATGATTTCCTGTCTCACATTTAGGTCTTTAATCTATTTTGAATTTATTTTGGTGTATGGTGTAAGGAATATTACTCAGCCATAAAGAATAATGAAATCTTGCCATATGCAATGACGTGGATGGCACTAGAGAGTATTATGCTAAGTGAAACCAGCCAGAGAAAGACAAATACCATATGATTTCACTCATATGTGGAATTTAAGAAACAAAACAAATGGACATAGGGAGAAAAAAGAAGAGAAAAACCAAGAAACAGACTCTTAACTATAGAGAACAAAGTGATGGTTAACAGGAGAATTGGTTGGGGGATGGGTTAAATAGGTGATGGGGATTAAGGACTGCAACTTGTTTTCATGAGCACCAGGTGTTGTACGTAAGTGATGAATCACTAAACTCTACACATGAAACTAATATTGCACTATACGTTAATTAGCTGGAACTTAAAAAACTTGGGGGATAAAAAAAAGAGAGGCAAACCTAGATGCTGACTTTCAACTATAGAGAAGAAAATGATGGTTACCAGATGGGATATGAGTGGGGCCATGGGTTAAAAAAAAAAAAAAAAAGGAAAAAATGAAATGAAATGAAATGAAACACAGAAAAACAATAGAGAAAATTAACAAAAACAAAGCTGGTTCTTTTCAAAGGTCATTAAAATTTGTAAAACTGTGCCGGGCTTACCAAGGAAAAAAGACATTGGGCATACTGTAACAATATCAAAAATGAAAGAGGGCTCATCCTTCTTGACTTCATGAACATTAAAAAAAAAAAAAGAATTACAATGAACAATCATATCCATAAATTTGAATATCTCAAAGAAATAATCCAATTCCTTGAAAGACACAACTACCAAAATGTATGCAAGAACAAGTAGTAAAACTAAATGAGTCAAAAAGTCAAATAAATCACTAAACATTATTAAACATATACATAATGTTTAAAACTAAGCAAGTGGTCCTAAAGTAAGAGTAAAATAACAGTTGTCAAGAAACACAAGAGGATGGTACTAACCTGTAACTGAACGCACTAGTTGGAGGAGAGGGGTCTGATTACATACACCCTGAGAGTGATGTGAGAGTGAACAGAAAGCAGTGGGCAGGCCTTAGTATCAGTGACAGGAACCATTCGAAGTGGTGGCATGAAGTATTAAGAGGAAGGCAAGAAATGGGGAAAGGTCAGAACCCTGGTTTAGGAGGCAAAAGGAGCAATTTCGCATTAGAGTGATGCATTGACCCCCAAGCAGCGCTTGGAAAAGGAGCCGAGACAGGATGGGTGACAGAAAGTTTGGGAAGAGTGAGCAGGCGGTCAGAAATGAGAAAGGTGGACGCACACACTGGGAGGCCAGGGAAGGCAAAGGCAATCTATTTAAGTAGCTCTTCCTGCAGTCCCCCAGGTGCCAAGGGGCAACGCAAAAGGCGAGCACATCGGCGAGGAGAAACCGTGCAACATTCCGGGAGGTCTAGCCCGGCGCGGACCGTTTCCACGAGCACGCGCGCTCGGAGGACGGCGCCGGCGGGGCGGGGGCGGGGAGCGGCGCGCGCTCGTCCACGAGAGGCGGGGGCGGGGCGCGGCAGCGACCGGTGACGTCAGGGCAGGGCGCGCGCCGGCCGGCTGCGGGCGGAGCCGGGAGGCGGGCACTGCGCGCGGCCGCGGGCGGAGCGGAGGGGCGCGAGGGGCGGAGCGGAGCGCAGGAGAAGGCGGGGGAGGAGAGGCCCCCGGGACCGCGAGCGGCAGCTGGGGAGGGGGCAGCGGAGCCGGAGAGCGAGCAAAACAGCTGATCTGATTTTCCCTTAAAGCGAGAGAAAATGGAAGTCGGGTAGCGGCGACTGCGGCGCTGCAGGCTGGCGGAGCGGAGCGGCGCGGCAGGTGAGACGGCGCTGGCCGCGGTGCTGCTGGCGGCGGCGGGGCCGGGGCCGCGGACGCGGACGAGGCAGGTGCGCTGTTGGAGAGCGGGCGCCGGGTCCCTCCGCGCTTCGCGGTGAGGCAAGTGGGCGCAGGCACAGGGGGCGACCCTGGGGCCAAGGCGCAAAGGCACAGGGGGCGCGGGGGTCGCGGGCACCGCGCAGGGCTCGCGGCGCGCTGCATTGCGGGCTCCGCTCTGGACCCCGCGGGCGCCGGCTCCGGCCCGGCGCTCGTCTCCTAAGCAGGGCGCGGCGCTCCGGCTGGGTCGGGGCCGGCATCTCCTCGGGCCCCCTTAGCTGTCTGCACTGGAACGTGATGACAGGCGTGAGGGGACCGGCCCCTCAGTTCGTGTGGGCGCGCAGGGGGTCCCGCGGCGCCGGCAGACTCTCAGGCACGGTGGGGCCCCAGAGAAGCGCGTGAGGCCGCTAGCCGGGTGCCCGGGCTGTGGCTGCGTGGGCCACCGTGGCCCGGCGCACCGCCCGCCCGCTCGCTCGCTTGCTCCTCTGGGTCTGGCTGGACAGCAGGGGAACCGTTAATGCAATTTGGCTGTGAACCCCGGAGGCCTTCCCTAGTATCTTCTCACTGGAGGGGAAAAAAATTGCCTCTGTTGTGCTTTAAGTGCTCCTTTAAATTTGAGAAATGTCAGTGATGTCATCATTAACAAAAACTTTCCTTCATTGGACACAACCTCTCAAGTGTACCCTCCTCCCGGTGCAGCTATTGCAGCCCTTTGAGAATCTTTGTAATAAAATGGATTTGCTTTTGCTTTCTAAACTCAACAGCATTACAGAAATGAAAACGGATTTTATTTTTATTTATTGGCTTGAGAATCAATAGATTTGAGAGTAGCTGAAAGGAAACTTGTTAGATCCCGGTGGATCTGGGAATCGCTTCATCCACACCACAAGGATCCACGGGAAAGTGTCATGCATGATACTTACATGCTTATTGCCTTGCCTTATCTCTGTAAATGAAATGAGCTGTGAGATGAAACATTTTGTAAAAGATATTATATTTGATGTGGCAGATGATGTGTCCAGGAAAAGGTGGACAGTGTGGCCTAAATTTTTATAGGCCTTGATTGCTTCAGGAGAATCTGTAGGTTTTCTTCCTTCAGCACCCCCCCCCCCCCCACACACACCCTCCAGGATGGGTCTGGGAGCAGCCTGCCCTGGGGAAAGGAGTGGCAGTTTTTGTAGGGTCCTCCCTGCCTTTCATTTTCTTACTGTAGCAGCTGTGTGTCCCACCAGCCTCCAAGGCCAATTCAGCACCAGGGAGGGTGGAGAGAGTGCAGAGGCTGGAGACCTACCAGCCCAGCACACCAAATTTTGCGGGAATTTCCCTCCTAAATGCAAGCAATAGGCCATTATTCTTGTGTATGTGTGAGCATTCCATTAGTACTGGTTATTGTGGTAACAAAAGTAAGCAAGTTCCCCAGATAGTCTGTATATCTACTTAAGACTATCATATCGAAAGGATATTCAATAAGGGACAAAGTATTGACATTTTTGTATTTAATAATTAATGACTACCCCTAATTGCTTAAAATAAGCATGCCTTAAATTATTAGTGTGATCATATTGGATCTGTAAAGAATTTAATACCATATGCCATGTAAAAGTTTGAGTCTGATCAGGAATGTGAAGCTTTGAAACCCTGGATGGGAGTGAAGGAAATCAGGAAGCAGTGGTTTACTTTAGGGTGATGTTCAGGATGGCAGTGGAGAGAACCCATTGCTTCATGGAGTCTTGCCAGGTGTGGGTCTCAGCCTGGATCTTATATGGCAGGTGTCCCCTTAGGAAGTGACTGCTGAGGACCTTAGCCCTAGTGGAGACTAGCAGTGGAATTGTCAAGAAGCTGAACTGTCTGTTCTCACCTTGTGGAGAAGGGAAGGAGCTCCATTCACCGAAGCAAGCAATGTGTCCATGGCCTCTCACCTCTTGGGAGTTGCCAAATGTATTCACAATGGCAAGGCCAGATGAGACAGGAATGTAGCAGAATTGTCCCCTAGTTTTAGGTGACTTTGGTCTCACTGCATGTAGCTGCTTTAGAACTTGAGCTCTTTGGGCATAGCTGAGTTTTTCCTACAATTGAAGTATTTCCAGTTATTACGTGGAATAGTATGAACATTTTTTTTAGGCTCCGAGCTATGCACTCTTTAGAAATTGAGACTGTGAAACCATTCTGTCCACATATCCATTGTTTTTAACCTGTAGACCTGTGAAAATATTTATCATAATTTTTTTTATGTAACTCACCACAGTATTTTAAAAATACAAATGTGTTTTTGTATTTTTGTAAAAAATACAAATGTTGGAAACAAATGATAGTTTCCAACAATCATTAAGTATATGTCACTCATTTCTTAAAACATTTCAAAATCAAGCACTTTAAAGCCTTTTCATCCCATTTGTATGCTTAGAGTATCACGTGTTCTGTTTCAAAGAAGCCAAAATTGCCTTGCTTTTCTTTTTGCTCCCTTTGGATCTTAAGGTCATTTACTCCTGTCTTAGGCCCACAGAATAAAGGCTGAGTCAGCTCCTGCAGGACCAGCAGGGGGCGTGCTAAATGCAGGTTGGCAAACCTCTACCTGAGCTACCTTGGGAGAGGATCTGGGATGACCAGGTTTTGGGTGTGTGTGGGTGTGTGCATGTGAGTGTGCGCCTGTGTGCACCGCCACTCCGTGTGCCTGTAGCCTAAGGGATGGAGATTAAAGGAAGGATGGGCAAATTACTTGAATAGCCAGAATTTGTGGCCTTCCAAAACACAGGCCTCCCTCAAAGAGGCAGAGAGATTGCTTTAACTTTAAGTGCTTCTGATCTTTGGAGAGTGGCAGTTGGTTCTAGTCTGAAGATTCAGTGCCTTCTCAGACCGCAGAAGGGAGAGTGTTGGCTTGGGGAGGATCTGCTGGCCTCCTAGAACTGCTGGTGAGCACGTTAGTGCCAGCCAGGACAGCAGGTAGAAATGCCACCAACTCCCTGTAAAGTTTCCTCTTGGGTTTGACTCCTATTGACATAAACCCTAGGACCCTGTGTCTGTGGCACTTCCCGAAGGCTTTATTTACCTGCCTTACCAGGGTTATTGGCCTCAGGATTTCTATCATGGAATAAAGCAAATGTTTATTCACTGTACATTTCTTTTCTCATAGAAAATGGAAACAGAAGAGGCAACTGTGCTTTTTGCTTAAATGTGCTTAATCGAACTTCAAGCATGTGCAGGTTTTTCATCAGCAAGTTCCCTGGGAGGCTTCTCCTTGGAGGAGCTGAGCTGCTGCATGTATGCCATCTTGCTCAGCTGGGATGGGTGTTTCCCAGGGCTTTTGTGATCACTGCAGTGTGTAGAGTGATACTGAGAACCAAAGACTCTTCTCTCTTCCCCAGGTTCCTCCTGGAGCCCACATGCAAAAGGGAAACAATAATGCCTTGAAGGGAATAGACTTTCTACTAGAGAACTATCCAAATGCTATGACTGGATATTTATTTATACATTTTCTATCAAAAATGCATGTTAAACTGAATTATTGATTTCAAAGGGGCAAATGAGAATAATTTGTTTTTCAGCTTTGTGCTGAACCATGCTCTTTGCTTGGAGCCCTCTAAATGGCATTAGGGGGATGTGCCCCTAGATAAAATAACAGGTTGACACCTCATCCCTTTAGAAGAAGCCCATCCCTGAGGATGACCACAGAACATCCTATTCAAAGATAACCCTGAGATCCACAGGCATTTAAGTGGAAATAAAACATGCTGGTTTCTATTGGTAATAAAGCTAATTTGAAAATATTTTACCTCTGAAAGTTGGAGGTAGAGTTTTATTTGCCCTTGATTAGTCTGCTGTCTCCCAGATAGTCTTTATGTCTAACCCAGAATAAGATGGCCTTAACACAGATGAGAGAGAGTAGGCAAGGTGGGAGCCACTTTCGCCGCACTTTGGGGATAGAGTTCTTTATTGTTCATGGTAATAGACTGGAAAAGTGGGTTGAAAATAAGTCTTTAAATTCTGAAATTGAGAGAAAGCCTGGACGCAGCCTTTTTACCTGCCTGTGTTGTGGCGCTGTGTTTAGCTGGCTGGTTTGTGCATTATATCTCTTGACCAGAAAGTGGGGTGGAAGGATAAAAACCCTTCACTTACTCCCACATCAGCCACAGCTGACCACCCTGGACAAGGCACAGCGTGGTCATGCTCTAGAATCCTTATGGAAAAAGGAGAGAGCTATCCTCATGTCTCCAACACCTTATCTAGTAAAATCACTTTCTTGCATGAAACTCCAGTGCTTGCTATTATAGATTTGCACTGCCCACCAATGCGTATTCTGAGAAGTCAAATTCACATTGATGCTGATGGAAATTCTAAATTCATCTCCCTTGGTTTCAGCAGTAAGTCTAAAGTAAACTCATTTTCTAGGTTTGAATGATTTTGAGTCTCCTTCCAGGGAAATATTTTCTATTTAAACTCAGTTTACTCTTACATAGTTTTCCTTATAAATATAATGGAAATTTGATGTCTGGATGAATATGTATGAGCAGGATGTGGTATTAATATTGGTATTTATATTTATGAAATGTAAAATGAGACCTTTGCAATTAATTTCCTTTTCTGTTCCATGTTTCATTCAATTGTTTTATTAAGTTACTGCAGTTTCACATGGCACTAATGATTGGTGTGAATAAACCACCTACCCAACCCTTGGTGAGATTAGATTAAGTTTCTTAGTTATGAGACAACAGCTTGGGAGTTGGACCCAGAGAAGGCAGACATTTTGAGCTGGAGCAGATACCTCAGGTCCTGTCCCTGCCAGGTTGAGCCTTACTGCCTCTGAGAAGACCTTGATCTGCTGCCCTTGGGCTGACACATCCATGATTTACCTCAGTCATCTCTGTGCTTCCATTTTAGGAATTGTCCATCACATGGGGCTCTCCTGGTTCTTAAAGTAAGCTCAGGGTTGGCTTGCATGTCGAGGAAGT